TAAAATATTGATATACAAGGTACTCGTTTCAGAAGATTATTGAAAACACAAACTTGATGATGTCATTGAAGCCGATCAAGATATGTTATGCAAGGGTATTCTGGCAAAACAAAGTCCACAATTCAATAGGTTTAAAATTCATTTATGCTACTGAACATGGGTACAGGGTTGAGAAATCACAAATTGTAACAAGGAGAATTCAATTCAAAACAGAATCAGAACATCGCAAAAATCATAATATTATTGAATTGATGATGCTCTTCAACTCAGGAAGAAGAAACAAAGGTAGGTCAATCGAATCATGTATATTACTGGAAATGAGATATTGAGACATTGTTTGATTCAGAAATTCATGGAGAACACAAACCTGATGATATTATTAGAGCAGAGATTTTTCAGTTCTAGATATTTTGGCATCTCCGGAATCTATAAAATATTGTAGGAAGGCTTCATCTTCCAGTACATTCAGCTTCAGGAAGTGTGCCCAAGGTTCAGGAATCATAACCAACATTGAGAAATATAACTACCAATACACTACACTGTTTTACCACTAACCAAACCGATTTTTTAACGCCTCGACACGTGTTTCGCTAACTATGTTAGCATCTTCAGGAGAAGATTAAATCAGTTTTAATCTTCTCCTGAAGATGCTAACATTGTTAGCGAAACACGTGTCGAGGCGTTAAAAAATCGGTTTGGTTAGTGGTAAAACAGTGTAGTGTATACATATTACAAATGAGAAAATATCTGCGAATTTCATGAGATCAATATATCAGAAGAAAAATTATCATTTTTGTCTTCCTATTTCTCATGTAAGACTAGTGCTGGAGCCTTTGAAAATGGTAAAAAGTGACAGAAAATTTCAGAAGGATTGAACCCAATGGATAAAGAAGAGAATATGGCAAGAATGGGAGAAGAATAACTTATGGGTGATCAGTGGTTGGGAAGAGGTGAGCCTTGGAAGGTAAAAACGGATTTTCCAGATTTCCGGCAAAATTACAAGTCCAATGGAAAAACGTTGAACAGCGAAGTGATAGGAAATGAGAGGATCAACAAATTCTGTCCCCAAACCTTCATTCCATCACCTCAGAATCAACATGTGAAAAATTCAAATCACCGTTTTTGTTTTTCACATCAAAAAATTTTTTTTCACGAGATTTGATGGTAACTAGGTACTTATCTCTTTATATCCCAAATTCGATGTTTTTTTCTAGATTTGGAATATTAATTTGTTCACCTATTTTCGACTTGATATCGAAAAAGCACCCTGCTTGAAAATGATGGGCTTTTTGTTTGCTAAAATCTCTACTCTCTGATGGTGTGAGGATATATATATGTTATCTCGTGGTTTTCGAAATAGACTTTTTAAAAACAATTTCATTTATTCCGGCATAGATTAAGTTTATACAATGAGCTTTATTTCAAGACTGACTTTTTGATACAATATAAAATGAATTTATATTAAAGATAATGCTGATGCCAGCGTCAGCAGATATTATATTCCATTTCTGCGGATGCTGACTTCAAGGTCAAGATCATGTTCTGAGGAATTGTTATCGCTGGTAAGTTGATACTACTGGGAACAATGGGAACTGATTTTAGCATATAACAACTCCCCATCATAATAAAAAAATGGTGCTCATTGCAGCGACTTTTAATGAACGTCCTTCGAGGTGGATGATGTCAGCTCGAAGTCGTCTTCTTGGTCTCGGATGTTGACGCTTGGGCGTCTTCTGGGGATGAACCTGGTGAGGGATGATCTGAAGGGTGTCCTTGATGTTCCTGGTGGAGCTGGGGGTGAATTGTCTGAGGCCATGATGCTTATTCTTGCTGGTCTTCTACGTCTGCACTTACAGTAGAAGTAGAGTACAATCAGGAGGATTATCAGGGTGATCGTAAGATACGTAAACCAAGAAATGTGTTTGGTCACGTATGGTTGATTGATTAACTTGTCCAAATCATCGGAATATTGACTCAATTTGTGCTGGGCAATATTCAGGTCTTCAGTATCCAATTTGCTTAGTTCCAGTGGTTTTAGCTCTGGAACATTTTGTTTCTCAGGTAGGTGTTTGCAGCATTCGTATGGGATGATGACTGGTTGATTTCTGTAGGTCACATTCTTGTAAGAACTGACCAAGTACTTAGCGTGTACTCTCGTGCTTCCTATGAATGCATTGCATTCTGGTTGTAGTGTGAGGATCGAATTGGTATTGGCTATTTTCGTGATTGTTTCTCTATTGGAACACTTGATCGTTATTGGTAGTGGATCTGACAAAGCGATCAACCACATATTGGAGGCAATTTCTTGTACATTATAGTCTCTTGCAAAGATGACTGAGGATTGGCATGTCTTCGGTACTTCGAATTGCTGTCGAAGAAGTTGAGCTTCACAGATAGCGTTGTTATCGATTGGATATGGCAGAACATCTGAACAGATTTGTACTCGGCTCTCCAGGTATTTGCATCTGTCCAAGTTTTTGAATGATGCGTACAACATTGAATCGTCATCTCTCGCGATATATTTTTGATTTGTTAACAAAATGTGATGAAAACCTGTTCTATTATCAAATATTGGTATTGGGAATAATCGGAATAGGGTATAGGTTTCTGGTTCAACTAATGGAATTTTTAACAGTTTTTAACAGTTTTTGTCGTAATATCAGTCAGATAGTTTTATCCTGCTACATGCAGGAAAATGTTTTTTTTTTATTTTTTCGAAAATGAATAGAGATCATAAACAAATTGATGAGAAGAAAAATTATATTTCTGAAAGTTAAATTTGAAAAATAAACGTACAAATAAAACAGTGGCGTACAATCCAATACAAATCCTTATATTAGATAGATTACCCTCGGGGACGCTTCTGGAAATGATAATTTTATTCTAAATAAAAAGTAAACAGGAGCCCCTTATTTCCTCAAATGAGCATGCCAAGTTTTTTTTTTCTAAAAACTTTGACACCCTATATCTCTAAAATGAAACTAGTTAGGACACATGCTTATAGGAAGGAAAAGTCTTATTTTTGCTTGAAAAACTGATCCTAAACGTTTGGCGGTTTTACCCTGGGTCACCCTGTATATATGTTATAAGTTCGATCAAAATGTAATTCGATCAATTGCTATTTCGATTGAATGATATTTAGATCGATTGATTTTCAATAGTTTTTCGATCATATCTCCGGCAACCGCTGAATAATTGGAAAACGCAGTGAACATTGGTGAAGTGCAGACATTTCTTAAAATAACTTTAGAATCAATGAGTTGGATAATGGATATAGGTCATATGGGAATCTGGTCAGTTGACCTTCATTTTCACCAATGAACTGGAAATATAAGTACATAATTATATAATCTCCATATTATGTACAGGGTGGCCAACTAAGACTCCAGAGTTCGATTACTCTGTTGTCTTGAGAGATACAAAAAAAATTCATGAATCAAAATTGAAGTAATAACCGAGCTCCACATTTCAAAATTTCTTTGAGATACACAGGGTGTTCCGTAAGGTCACAGCACATCAAAGCTATGTTTTTTTCATTGGAACACCCTATATTTTATTTCATTTTTGAATTCTCCCTGAAGATCTGATTTCAACAACCCATCATACTTAGGGTTTAGCAGTGAAAGTTACTGACATATAGGGTGTGCAAAATCGAGATTTTCCAAGTTCAGGATTTTTTTTCTGTCGAAACTGTTCATTATTCGTCAAAACGGTTTACATGTCCCTATCTCAACTTTTCACTCACTATCAATTGGTGTTCAGTATGATACGTCGTTGAAATCAGATCTTCAGGGAGAATTCAAAAATGAAATAAAATATAGGGTGTTTCAATGAAAAAAACATAGCTTTGATATGCTGTGACCTCACGGAACACCCTGTGTATTTCAAATAAATTTTGAAATGTGAAGCTCGGTAATCACTTTAATTTGAATGCAATTTTTTTTTTGTATCTCTCAAGACAACAGAGGTATCGAACTCTGAATTCTTAGTTGGCCACCCTGTACATACGTCAATGAGAAGCGCATATTACATGTTGTTACACGCATAATGCATAATAATCCCTTGTTAATAAAATTATTTATATTTCAAAGGTTATATATTAATCTATTCTCCAACAGTTAATTCATTGGGGTAGAAACATTCTTCAAAAACGTATAGAGATTATTAAACGATTTATTGAGGGTAATACAAAAACAACAATTCTTACATCTCTACACCTTACAAATAAGACTCCTTATTTGACGGTGTTGCGATTCAATCTATTTCATTGAATATTAGTATTCGATTCCCCAAAATATCAACTTTACTTTGGTAAAGATGAACTGAGGATATACAAGAGTCAAACTATATTCAGAAATAACAAGAACATCCAAGATAAGCACAACATAGGGATCTCGGATCGTGATGGAATGAAAACGAAATCAATAATGTAGGTATCAATCGAAATAATGAAAACTTCGTAGAACATAAAAGCGCAAAGAATAAATGTACTGGGCTTTCCGATATGTTTAATATTACTGTAAAGAAATAGGAAATTTCGTTTTCTCTCAAAATATTTTGAAAAACAAAGTTTATGTATGTAGCATATTATTCAGCCGCTATAGGCAACTATAATCCATCTTTTTCGAGGCCCATATGTTGCGCATGCTTGTCATGAACAGACAGTACACACTACCAGAAAAGAAATAAAAATAAAACAATAAGAGAATATAATGTTTTATTGGGTTTTATACTTATTACAAGCATTGGGAAGCTCATAAAGTTAAATTAGAACGTCTTGAGGAATACAAATAAGATATAAAACCCATACCGTAAGCATTCTAAAATATTATTGCAAAAATACTCATAATGTCGCATCTATAAAAAAATAGTGTATTTGTTAATGAGTGTGGATAAATGAATGGAATAACATAATTGTCAGCATGTCATAATATCACAAATCATTATAACAGTCTATGAAATCTTACAAGAACGTTAGTCCCAGGCACGAATACCTAAACCTATTTTGTTATCAAGGGCATATAGAATTTATGAGATTTCGTGTCCCTGGTATGCTTGAAGGGGCCCTTTGGTGCATCCACCAAACCAGCAGGACAAGGGCCTACGTTCCTAGGAGCATACTCCTTCTTGTAGGAAGTCACCACCTGTACGTTGCTCTCTCCCAGAGTAATATTGGAAACATTAGACCTCCTGTGCACCCTTTCTACGTGTTGCACGTTCTGTTGCTTAGTGAATCCTCCATACGACTTAGCCTCAGATTCTCCATAGAAGTGTCCGCCAACAGACAAGTTATCTTTCCTCACAATCTTCTGAGGCCGCTCAACCACTTGGTGACTGAACTGTTGGTTCCTCCTGTTGGAGATATTTGACTCCTGGTTCGATCTATGCATTGAACTGAGGCTGTGCCTTTCTGTGTTCACTGTTGTTCTACCTTGATCATGCAAGTTACAGACCGACTTCCTCATGTCTAGTGCTGAGGAACTAGTCGCGTGTAACGCTTCTGTAGACGTATGGTGACCTTTGCGATGTAGTATTTGGTTCTTGATTTCTTCATTAGTGATTGCATCTTTCTTGTGATAAGTGGATTGGGAAACGTTCTTATCGACGTTTCGTCTCGAAATGTTCTGACTGGAGGAGTGAATGATATTATTGCTCTGGGATACATTTCTATGTGTGTGCTGTTTGGTTATGTCATGGTGACTCGTGGAATGGATTATGTTGTTTTGCTGAGCCGTATGTTGATTCGACACCTTCCTCTGACTCGATGAATTAATAATATTACTTTGTGAAGTATGATTCTCGGTATTACTTCGAGATGATAGATCTGTGTGACTTGATGAATGCACTACATGGTTTTGCTTCACGTTGGTTACGTTCGTTGAACTGACATTATTTCTTTGCTGATCTATTTGAGACGATCTTCTAACATCGTTACTCGTTTCATTAACAATCACTTTCTCGTGATGTTGTCTAGTACTATCAACGTGGCTCCTTTGTTGTCCTCCAACAGTAGTTATCTTTTTTACAGTCGTAACGACAATCGTACCATCCTGAAGAGTTTTTTTATCAGAAGAAACATCTGTATAGATTTTATCGTCCTTCTTGATGGTTTTGTTATCGATGAATTTCGTCTTTCGATCTACTAGATTTTCTTTTTGTGTAACACTAACGACATGTTTATCAACATTGGAAATTTCCTTATTATCGATAACAGTTTTTCGATCAGTTTTCCTGGTGAAAGTATTGTAATTGCTCTGATTGGTAGTTTGCATATTCGTTGTATCGTTTCCTAGAGTGAAGTGAGATTGCATATGTCTACGATTGTTGACTACTGTCGTCGACCCAGGAGTACCAAGGGTGACAGGAGATTTCTTTGGTGTGTTGACATCGAAAGTTTCATGTGTTGTTGTAACGCAATCCATCTTGCCGCTACCAACTCTGATTTGATCTTCGTATTTCTTAATCTCAGCTCGCTCACCTCTCACCACTGTAAACTGTGACTTTGTCATCGTTGTATCTTCGAACTCCCCGGTTACTTTCAGGTTGTCTTGATGTTTGACAATTGTTGCTCTTTCTCCCGGAGAATACTTGGGTTTGGTAGGTGTTTCAAAATCTCCCTCAGGTCGTAGGCTATCTTGAGGTTTCTTCAGAGTGGGTCTCTCACCTGGTTGGTAACCAGGTTTCTTGGGTGTTTCAAATTCACCCTCAGGTTTCAAATTGTCTGATTGTCTTATAGGAGTTCTTCTTTCGCCTGGACCAAGTTGAGTAGGTGTGGGACGTTCGAAATCCCCTTCAGGGCGAAGATTATCTTCTGGCTTCTTAGGAGTAGGTCTTTCGCCAGGTTTATAACCAGTTCTCTCCGGTCGCTCGAACTCACCTTCTGGATGGAGGTTATCTTCTGGTCGCCTTTGTTTAGGTCTTTCAGCAGGTGACCATTCTGGCTGATGCGGTCTCTCGAAATCTCCTTCAGGTTTCAAGTTATCTGGATGTCTGATAGGTGACCTCCTTTCTCCAGGGCCGAGTTTGGTAGGTGAAGGACGTTCAAAACTTCCTTCAGGGTGAAGATTGTCCTCTGGTTTTTTAGGAGTAGGTCTTTCAGCAGGTTTGTACCCAGGTGTTTTGGGCCGTTCAAAGTCACCTTCTGGATGGAGGTTATCCTCTGGTCGCCTTTGTTTAGGCCTTTCAGCAGGTAACCATTCTGTGTGATGAGGTCTCTCGAAATCACCTTCAGGTCTCAAATTATCTGGATGTCTGATAGGTGTCCTCCTCTCTCCAGGGCCAACTTTGGCATGTGAAGGGCGTTCAAAACTTGCTTCAGGGTGAAGATTGTCTTCTGGCTTCTTAGGAGTCGGTCTTTCTCCTGGTGTGTACCCAAGTCTTTCGGGTCGTTCAAATTCTCCTTCTGGATGAAGGTTATCCTCTGGTCGTTTTTGTTTAGGCCGTTCTGCAGGAGTCCATTCTGGTTGGTGAGGTCTATCAAAATCTCCTTCAGGTCTCAAGTTGTCTGGATGTTTGATAGGGGTTCTTCTCTCTCCTGGGCCAAGTTTTGTTGGTGAAGGTCGTTCAAAGTCTCCTTCCGGATGGAGATTATCACCATGTTTGATAGGTCTTCGTCTCTCTGCTGGTCCAAGTTGAGTTGGGGTGGGTCTCTCGAAATCACCTTCGAGTTTCAAATTGTCTTCATGACGCACCACTTGCCTCCTTTCGGTATGCGTAGTGAATTCGTCTCTTTTTCTGTAGTCGCTGAATTCGCCTTCGATTCTGAGGTTATCTTCCCGGCGAATTATATCACATCTTTCTCCTTTTACAACATTGTAATCGTCTCTTGTTCTCAAATCTGAAAAGTCCCCTTCTACTCTCAAATTGTCATCATGTCTGATTATTTGGGCTCTGTCGACGACTGTGGTTTTTGTGTAGTCATCTCGTCGCCTCATATTCCATTCTCCTTCCATCCTCAGATTATCCTCATGTTTGATTATATCAACTCGTTCACCACGAACAACGTTGTAATCATTCCTTTTCACCATCGTCATTTTACCTTCAGGTTTGAGATTATCATCGTGTTTGATGGGTTTCCTCAGTTCTGCGGGCCCAACTTCTACTATGTCTGGTCTCTCAAACTCACCTTCTGGACGTAGATTATCCTCAGGCTTCTTCTGTTTGGGTCTGTCAGCTGGCGACCATTCTGGTTTATGAGGTCTCTCGAATTTGCCTTCTGGTTTCAAATTATCTTCTGGTTTCTTGGGACTAGGTCTCTCTGTGGATTGGTATTTAGGTTTTTCAGGCCGTTCGAAATCACCTTCAGGTTTCAGATCATCTTCAGGCTTTCTTGGGACTGGTCTCTCACCAGGTTTATAACCAGGTTTTTCTGGTCTTTCGAAATCTCCTTCAGTACGCAGATTATCCTCTGGTCGCTTTTGTTTCGGTCTTTCAGCAGGAGACCATTCTGGTTGATGGGGTCTCTCGAAATCTCCCTCTGGCCGCAGATTATCTTGATGTCTGATTGGAGACCTTCTTTCTCCTGGACCAAGTTTGGTCGGTGTGGGACGTTCAAAGTCACCTTCCGGGTGGAGATTGTCTTCTGGCTTTCTAGGAGTAGGTCTCTCAGCTGGTTTATATCTTGGCTTCTCAGGTCTTTCAAACTCGCCTTCTGGATGTAGATTATCCTCTGGTCGTGTTTGTTTGGGCCGTTCTGCAGGTGACCATTCTGGGTGCTGAGGTCTTTCGAAATCTCCTTCGGGTCTCAAATTATCTCGGTGCCTGATAGGAGTTCTTCTTTCTCTAGGACTAAGTTTGGTGGGCGTGGGACGTTCGAAATTCCCTTCAGGGTGAAGATTGTCCAATGGCTTTTTAGGAGTAGGTTTTTCTCCTGGTTTGTACCCAGGTCTCTCGGGACGTTCAAACTCACCTTCGGGGTGAAGATTATCTTCTGGTCGCCTTTGTTTAGGCCTTTCTGCAGGAGACCATTCTGGTTGGTGAGGTCTCTCAAATTCTCCTTCAGGTCTCAAGTTATCGGGATGTCTGATAGGCGTTCTTCTCTCTCCTGGGCCAAGTTTGGTAGGTGTTGGACGTTCGAAGTCCCCTTCTGGATGAAGATTGTCCTCATGTTTGATAGGCTTCCTTCTCTCTGCTGGTCCAAGATGAGTTGGGGAAGGTCTCTCGAAATCTCCTTCTGGGCGCAAATTGTCTTTCGGCTTCGTGGGTGTAGGCCTTTCTGTTGATTTATATCTTGGTATTTCGGGTCGTTCAAAGTCTCCCTCTGGTCTAAGGTTATCTTCTGGTCTGATGGCAGCTGGCCTTTCACCGGGTTTATAGTCTGGTCGATCGGGTCTTTCGAAGTCACCTTCCGGACGAAGATTGTCATCTGGTCGTTTTTGTTTCGGTCTTTCTGCAGGTAACCATTCTTGCTTTTCTGGTTTTTGAAACTCACCTTCTGGTCTCAAGTTGTCTTTGGGTTTCTTCTGTTCAGGTCTCTCAGCTGGTATGAATTTCTCTGGAGTGCGTTTCTCAAAATCTCCTTCAGGTTTGAGATTATCTTTGGGCTTTGTAGGAGAAGGCCTTTCTGTTAATTCATATTTTGGCTTTTGTGGCCTTTCAAAATCTCCTTCCGGTCTCAAGTTATCATCAGGTCTTATGGCAGCTGGCCGTTCTCCATGTTTATAATCTGGTCTATCTGGTCTTTCGAAGTCACCTTCAGGGCGAAGATTATCATCTGGTCGTTTTTGTTTAGGTCTCTCTGCAGGTGACCATTCTTGTTTTTCTGGTTTTTGGAATTCACCCTCTGGTCTTAAGTTGTCTTCAGGCTTCTTCTGTTTAGGTCTCTCAGCTGGAATGAATTTTTCTGGAATCCGTTTTTCAAATTCTCCTTCTGGTTTCAAATTATCTTTAGGCTTAGTTGGAGTAGGTCTTTCGGTTGATTTGTATTTTGGTTTTTCGGGTCTTTCGAAATCGCCCTCTGGTCTCAAATTATCTTCAGGTCTTATGGCATTTGGCCTCTCACCAGGTTTATAATCTGGTCTATCTGGTCTTTCGAAGTCACCCTCAGGGCGAAGATTATCATCTGGTCGTTTTTGTTTAGGTCTCTCTGCAGGTGACCATTCTTGTTTTTCTGGTTTTTGGAATTCACCCTCTGGTCTTAAGTTGTCTTGAGGCTTCTTCTGTTTAGGTCTCTCAGCTGGAATGAATTTTTCTGGAGTTCGTTTTTCGAATTCTCCTTCTGGTCTCAAATTATCTTTAGGCTTAGTAGGAGAAGGTCTTTCTGTTGATTTGTATTTTGGTCTTTCGGGTCTTTCAAAATCGCCCTCTGGTCTCAAGTTATCTTCAGGTCTTATGGCAGCTGGCCGTTCTCCATGTTTATAATCTGGTCTATCTGGTCTTTCGAAGTCACCTTCAGGGTGAAGATTATCATCTGGCCGTTTTTGTTTAGGTCTCTCTGCAGGTGACCATTCTTGTTTTTCTGGTTTTTGGAATTCACCCTCTGGTCTTAAGTTGTCTTCAGGCTTCTTCTGTTTAGGTCTCTCTGCTGGAATGAATTTTTCTGGAGTCCGTTTTTCAAATTCACCCTCTGGTTTCAAATTATCTTTAGGCTTAGTAGGAATAGGTCTTTCTGTTGATTTGTATTTCGGTTTTTCTGGTCGTTCGAAATCGCCTTCTGGTCTCAAGTTATCTTCTGGTCTAATGGCAGCAGGCCTTTCTCCAGGTTTATAATCTGGTCTATCTGGTCTCTCGAAATCACCTTCAGGGCGAAGATTATCATCTGGTCGTTTCTGTTTTGGTCTCTCTGCAGGTGACCATTCTTGTTTTTCTGGTTTTTGGAATTCACCTTCTGGTCTCAAGTTGTCTTCAGGCTTCTTCTGCTTAGGTCTTTCAGCTGGAATGAATTTCCCTGGAGTACGCTTTTCAAATTCACCCTCTGGTTTCAAATTATCTTTAGGCTTAGTAGGAATAGGTCTTTCTGTTGATTTGTATTTCGGTTTTTCTGGTCGTTCGAAATCGCCTTCTGGTCTCAAGTTATCTTCAGGTCTGCTAGGCATTGGTCTCTCAGTAGTTCTATATCTTGGTTTTTCAGGCCTTTCGAAATCTCCTTCAGGGCGAAGATTGTCTTCAGGTCTTTTCTGTTTTGGTCTTTCAGCAGGTGACCATTCTGGCCTCTCAGGTCTCTCGAAATCACCTTCTGGTCTCAAGTTATCTTCAGGTTTCTTCTGTTGAGGTCTTTCAGCTGGCGTGAATTTTTCGGGGGTACGTTTTTCAAATTCTCCTTCTGGTTTTAAATTATCTTTAGGCTTGGTAGGAGAAGGTCTCTCAGTTGATTTGTATTTTGGTTTTTCTGGACGTTCGAAATCGCCTTCTGGCTTTAGATTGTCTTCTGGTCTTCTTGGAGCGGGCCTATCACCAGGTTTGTACTCAGGTCTTTCGGGTCTATCAAAGTCACCTTCAGGACGAAGGTTGTCTTCTGGTCGTTTTTGCTTGGGTCTATCTGCAGGTGACCAACCAGGTTTTTCAGGTCTTTCAAAATCGCCTTCTGGTTTCAAGTTATCTTCAGGCTTTTTTTGCTTGGGTCTTTCCGCCGCAATGAATTTCTCTGGGGTTCGTTTTTCGAAATCCCCTTCTGGCCTCAAATTATCTTCTGGTTTATTTGCAGTAGGTCTTTCAGTTGATCTATATTTCGGCTTTTCTGGACGTTCAAAGTCATTTTCTGGTCGAAGATTATCTTCGGGCCTCTTTTGTTTTGGTCTCTCTGCTGGAGACCATTCTGGTTTGTGAGGTCTTTCGAAGTCTCCTTCCGGCCTTAAGTTATCTTCGGGCTTATTTTGCTTGGGTCTTTCTGCTGGGATGAATTTTTCTGGTGTGCGTTTCTCAAAATCACCTTCTGGTCTCAGATTGTCTTCTGGTTTTTTAGCAGTGGGACGTTCAGTAGGTTTGTATTTGGGTTTTTCTGGACGCTCAAATTCACCTTCAGGTCTCAAATTATCACGATGAATCACAACTGTTTGACGGAAGTCGGTGGTGTCGTAGTTTTTGTATACATCTTGTGAAGTTGTAACGACTTCTGTTGTTTCAGTACCATAAAACTTGTCAACTTCATCTTTGGTCCACGTTTGTCTTCTTCTGTCAACTGTAGGTGTTTTTTTTGTGTACTCCAGGGTGGAAGATGTATCGAAAGTCATATCCCCTGTTACTGTCAGATTATCTTGCCGTTTCTTTACAATATTTTTCACCACAGTGCTGCTGTGATCTATAAATTCAGATTTTGTTGTAGTGTCATCGGTGAAGTCCCCTTCTAATTTGGTCCAGGTGTTCCTACGAACGGGGCTGGGTCTTGGTCCTGATTCGCCAGTGAAGTCAACTTTACTAGTGGTTATATCTGAAAATACGGATATCTATCATTTATTGCGTATTTATGAATGATTAATTTAGAACTATAGTTACAGTTAGACATCGAAGGGGGATTCCCCTACATTTTCGTTAATTTTCACCAACAAAAAAATACGCAGAAGCCGAATTCCGCGAACAGCCCTCTTAATGGCCGTTTTCAGAAATTTCACAGAACAAATCCTCAGTGTAACAAACCACTAATCCATTGGAACATCTTGTTTTTCATATTTTTCTCGAAGTCTATGATTTTTCGGGATGACAGATACATAGAGCGTGTCTCACTTCAAACGGAACCCCCTCCACTATATCTTAGCTATTAGTCGTGCGATTTATTGAAATAAATTGAGAAAATTATAATTTTTTTTCAGGAAAACACTTACTATTGTTTTTCATGGTTTGAACTGTTATATACAGGGTGGCCCACGGTCGATGGTACCTTAGACGTATACGGAAAACGGTACATTGGATTATCCTGAAAATTTGGTTACTCTAATAAGCGTTTGTGATCTAACGATTCAAAATATTTTCAGCGAAGCAGCGTTGCCACTTTTACCAAAAAGTAGCATCATCTTTGTTATTTCAAATGGAACACCCTGTATTTTATTGCGTTTTTAGATTCTTCTCGAAGAGCTGATTCCATCAATGTATCACACTTGGGGTCTAGCAGGAATTATTACAGAGATATAGGGTGTTCAAAATCGAGATTTTTCAACTTTAGGATTTTTTTGTGTCGAAACTATTCATCATTGGTCAAAACGGCTTACATGTCCCTGTATTAACTTTTGATTAACTATCTACCGACATTTAATTGGAAAAAATACAGGATGGTCCAAGATTCAGAATTTTGATCACCCTGTATCTGTTCCAATTAAATGTCAGTAGATAGTGAATCAAAAGTTGAGATAGGGACATGTAAGCCGTTTCGATCGATAATGAATAGTTTCGACACAAAAAATTCCTGAAATTGAAAAATCTCGATTTTGAACACCCTATATCTCTGTAATAGTTCCTGCTAGACCCCAAGTGTGATGCATTGATGAAATCAGCTCTTCGAGAAAAATCTAAAAACGCAATGAAATACAGGGTGTTCCATTTGAAATAACAAAGATGATGCTACTTTTTGGTAAAAGTGGCAACGCTGCATCGCTGAAAATATTTTGAATCGTTAGATCACAAACGCTTATTAGAGTATCCAAATTTTCAGGATAATCCAATGTACCGTTTTCGGTATACGTCTAAGGTATCATCGACCGTGAGCCACCCTGTATGAATTTTCATATGATTCCTGTGGAGGCTTTTTAAAAACAGGCACATTTATACAGCATTTTTCTAATACTTGAGATATAAAATATAAGGGGTCCGACTAAAGTGAGACATGCCTGTATATAGGTACCTATTATACTTACAGGTCGGTTCCGGAATTGTTATGCGGTGAATGAAATAGGTAAGAAAATGAAACAAAAAGCATTTTTCGGAGAGGAAACATAATTCTGGAAATCTGCTAGTTTTAAAATTGTTTATTAGAGTTTAAGCGCCGATCCCGACCGTTACAATGACTTTTGCAGTGTTAGGTACCGGATGTTCAGTAATAGTGGGATAATATATGGAATAGTGAGAGCATTGTCGATCTAAATGAAAACCTAGTAGGCGACCTAGTGCGAGGAGGTATAATAAGCTCCTGCCTACTAACTTCCTAACTAAGTTGTCATCTAGAACGACAATGGTGAGAGCATACATTCTTAAAAATATTCTCAAATCAATTTTTCTTGCGATTTATTGATCATACAGTTGTGTGTTACAGCATTATCGAATACATTTCCAAGTTGATTATAGTATATAATCACTAATTAACCACACAAACCAAATATTATTCTTCTGGGAATCACAAAACATGTGAAGAATGAAATGAGTCAAGAAAAAAAAACTGTATATGAATATATATCTTTGTATTGAAAAGGAATATTCTCAGATATAATTATGAACACAAAAAAATGGATATATATATGTAGAGAAATATATTGAGATTTCGCATTCTCTATGTGATGAAAATATTATTTCTTCCTCGGTTTATTCAACAGAAAACAACTACTTCCCTGGCTATATGCCACGACGAACATTGAATTACATCTATGGAACACACACGATGAGAATTTGAGAAAAAAATCTTTGTGATCACAAAAGAGATGAAAATATAAAACATCGTTATTCATTCAATCGAATTGGATATGTCTCTCACTTCTAGCGATCACCCTGTGAAACGTCTGATAAGAGTCATCAAAAGGCCTGAAAACGTCATCGTTCATTATTTTTTTCTTGGTGAGAAATAAAATGAATATAGGGGTCGTACTCAATGTACTTCATCTAAGTAGTTTTTATTAAATTTGGTCTCATATGTCTCTGATTGTACACATACAAGAAGAGAAGAATTGAGCGTTCAAGCAACCTTTACTACTTCTGAACTCTATGAAATATTTACAATACCAGAATCATAATATTACTGTTGAAAATATGTTGAAAATTCACATTCAGATCAGATATTAGTACAAGTATTTTCTCTTTTACATGCACAACACATTTATTTTCATGCGTGGACGGTAAAACAATCGAAATATGAGATTTTAAAATTTTTTATAGTCGGATTTTTCTACTGAAAAAGTATACTTTTCCGCCTTCATTTAAGTGTGTGCACTAATGCGAAAAAGTAATTTGATAAGTTCCTGGGGAGTGTACTGACATTTGATTATTTAAAAATAATATAAATGTTTCTTTATGTTAACTTTTGGATTTTTTCCGCACGCTAGTAGAAAAAGTAGTGTAGCTAACACGTGCGTAAAGTGACTTTTTCGCACGTGATTGCTGGACTATCCACTAAGCATCGTTTGGCCATCTGCAATCGCGTGCGGAAAAGCATCACTTTCCTTACTTATTAGGTGAACTATACTATTTTCCATTATTCTTAATTGGAATGATTAAGTTGGTAGGTGAGTATTCCACGGAAACAATGACAGTTTCAGTAATTGAATTGCCTACCTTCCTTTGTATATCCCACTAGAGCCTTCATGACATTCGATAGGTAATCACTGTTTTATATGGTTTACTAGTTGTGCATCAAATTTCAATTTTAGTAAAGAGGTAGCCTATATTTTTCATCGTACGTATAGGTACTATCAGATATAGAATCACTGCTCGAAAAGCGGTGACATAATGTTCAAAATAAAAAAATATATCTATAACATATCAATCGAGAATGGATATCATCGACACCTGATTAGCAGAACATGAGTATAACGTAATATCTATTCCAATACTTTATCAAGATAGCAGGATAGGAATATACCTGGTGACCACGGTGTGTCAATGATTTCACACGATGGTGTCATGAAGAACTATGCCTCTCGTACCAAGTAAATAAAGAATTATCAAATGACCATAAAAAGTGTCTTCTTGATAAATTCATATAAAAGATTTGTTCCACCACTAGCTATAAAACATACCATTATTTACTCCATTTCGAGGCGTAAAGTGTGTTTTTACTGAAATTGTTTTAAAATTGTTCTTATCCATCATTCGATTGCCCCCTACGAGCAACCCTCAGAAGTCTTCGGGTCTTACCTTTTAACGTGTGATCCCAAACACTTTCTTACGCCATCAGAGAAATGTCTGCGGTCGTGGTGGGAATCGAACCCACTACCGGTAATCCAACGTGGATAGAACATTGACGCTCTAACCACGAGGCTACGCTGGTTTTACTACCATGGTAGTTTTCGTCATTTTATGAACCGCTAGTCAATAAAGACATAGCCCCCTTTGTTGTAACCTGAATGCACTGTTCTGATCAGAGATCCGCAAGAATGGCACTGGAATCTAGTAGGTATTTATCAATAACGACTTGTCATATGTTTTCATGGACATGGCTAAGAATTGAAAATAATTGCTTTCATAGTGACAATAGGTCCATATTTCGGTATTACAAAACTGAAATGATTTAAATATTTTGCTAGTGGTAAAAAAAATTATACAGGGTGGGCCACCAGTAACGCCTCGGTCTCTAGAAGGCTAACCACTTATCTTCTTGGAATTCTTTCTCTCTAGGAAGTTGCATGTCAACATAGGCTACCATTTGAAATTATTTTGAAACATACAGGATGTCCCCAAAAATCACAAAACACTGAAGTTGAACTTTTTTCAATCGAACACCCTATATATTATTTAATTCTGAGATTCTCCCTGGTGAGCTGATAGGGTGTGAGAAATCGAGATTTTCCAAGTTCAAGAATGTTTTGTGTCTAAACCATTCATAATTGGTCAAAACGGCTCACATGTCCCTATCTCAACTTTTGATCAACTATCTACTGACATTTAATTGAAACAAATACAGGGTGGTGCAGAATTCTGAATCTTGATCACCCGGAATATATCCCAATTAAATATCAGTAGATAGTTAATCAAAAGTTGAGATAGGGACATGTAAGCCTGTAGTAAGCGATTACCACTGAAACTATGAGTTTATATTACAGCAATAAATCACAATTACATTCTATTTTTAACCCGTCAAAACTTCATGACTTTTCTTGTCATCATTCCAAATATCGAATATCTACAGGGTCATAATAACGGTTATGTAAAGGCACTACATTATTCTCCCCCTCATAACCGTTATTATGACCCTGTAGATATTTGTTCAGAACTGCAGCTTCTAATTTGATTTTCATGTCGGGGACTGTCCCGTTGGGTTCCACCTCGAAATATTCGAGAAGTTTCATCAATTGCTCCCGGGTCAAATTCTGCAGGTGCTTTACCATCTTTGCACAATTTTAAACGGTTCTTAGTCGGGGTCACCAATTGTAGTAAGCGATTACCACTAAAACTATGAGTTTATATTACAGCAATAAATCACAATTACATTCTATTTTTAACCCGTCAAAACTTCATGACTTTTCTTGTCATCATTCCAAATATCGAATATCAACAGGGTCATAATAACGGTTA